TTTCCCATCATCAAAAGTAACAAATGTCTAGTATCTGAAAGGAGATTCCTCTTCCCATCCTGGTAACCATCAAGAACTTTGTTTTCTGTGTGTATGTTGTTGTTGTTGTTGTTATGTGCCATTGAGTCAGACCCAACTCATAGCAACCTCTCCTTGGGTTTCTGAGGCAGTATCACTATGGAAGGAAATTGTCCAACCTTCCTTCCGAGGAGTGACTGGTGGGTTTGAACCGCCAGCCTTGTGGTTAGCAGTCAAGTGCCTTAGGCACTATGCCACCAGAGCTCCTTCTGTGTGTATAACTATTCTTAATTTTTCTTAATAGTGGGATCATATAATCAGTGCCTAAGGCATTTGACTGCTAACCAGAGGTTGGTAGTTCAAACCCACCAGCCACTCCATGGAAGGAAGACTGGACAATCTATTTCCATAAAGAGTTACTGCCTCAGAAACCCAAAGGGGGTCCCTATGAGTTGGAATCAACTTGATGACAGTGAGTTTGGCTTTTTTTTTTTTTTTTTAATTTCACTCAGCAAAATGTCCTACAGATTAATCCATGTTGTGATATGTTTCATGGAATCTTCAGTAGTCTTTATAGTGCATAGTATGCATGTATACAATATCCATACACCAAAGTTTGATTATCCATTCATATGTTTATGGGCACTTAGGTTGTTTCTACCTTTTTGTTATGAATAAAGCTGCAAAGAACATAGCTGTGCATATGTCTATTTGTGTAACTGCTCTTATATCTCTGGATATATACCTAGGAGTGGGATTGCTGAATCACACAGTATTTTTATTTCTAGCTTTTTGAGGAAGTGTCATACTGTTTCCCGTAGTGGTTGTACCATTTTACAATCCCACAGCAATGTGTAAGAGTTCCAATCCTCCCACAACCTTGCCAGCATTTGTTGTTTTCATTTTTTTTTTTTTTTTGTCATTTTTGTGGAGGTGAGGTTGTACTTCCTTGTAGTTTTGATTTGTATTTCTCTAATGGCTAATGAGGAGCTCTGGTAGCACAATGCTTAAGGCATTTGGCTAACCAAAGTGTTCGTGGTTGGAATGCACCAGCTGCTCCATGGGAGGAAGATAAGGCAATCTGCTTGTGTAAAGACATACGACCTTGGAAACCCTGTGGGGCAGTTTTACTCCATCTTATAGTGTCATTATAAGTCAGAATCGACTCAAAGGCAGCATGTTTTGGGTTTTGGAGAGGCTATTGATGGCAAGCATCTTTTCAAGTATTTGTTGCCTACCTGAATGTCTTCTTTGGTAAAGTCTCTGTTCATGTCCTTTGCCCATTTTTTGATTGGACTGTTTGTGTTTTGATTGTTGAGTTGTTGAAGTTTTCTATATATTTTAGAAATTAGACCCATATGTCATTGCCAAAGATTTTTTTTCCCCCTCTGTAGATTCTCTCTTTTTACTCTCAGTAAAGTTTTTGATGAACATAAGTATTTAACTTTTTGAAGGTGCAAGTTATCTAATTTATCTTCTGTCATTCATGTATTTTTAGTTTTGTTTGTTAGGCTATTTATACTGAAAATTAGGTCTCTTGGTTTTGGCCTTATATTATCTTCCAGGAACTTTATAGTTTTAGCTTTAACATTTAGACCTTTGATTCCTTTTGAGTTAGTTTTTGTGCATGGTGCACAGTATGAATTCTGTTTCATTTCTCCGCATATGGAAATCCAGTTCTGCCAGCACCATTTGTTAAAGAGACTATTTCTTCCACATTGAATGGATGTGGACACTTTGTCAACGATCAGCTGCCTGTAGATGGATGAATTTACTTCTGAGTTCTCAATTCTATTTCATTGCTCTATGTGCCTGTCATTGAACAAGCAGTGGGCTGTTTTGGTTACTGTATAACAAGTTTTGAGATTGGGAAGTATGAGGCCTCCTACTTTCTCCTTCTTCTTCAATATTATTTCAGCTATTCTTTCCATATAAAGTTGGAGATTAGTTTTTCCATTTTATTAAAGAATGTTGTTAAGATTTGGATCAGGATTGCATTATATTTATAGATTACTTTTGGTAGTATTGACATTTTTACTATGTTAAGTTTTCCAATCCATGAGCACAGAATACTTTTCTGTTTATGTAGATCTTTAGTTTCTTGCAATAGTGTTTTATAGCTTTTCTTGTATAAATCTTTTAAATCGTTGGTTAGGTTTATTCCTAGGTGTTTAGTCCTTTTGGAGGCTATTGTAGATTATAAGGAGGTCTGATGGTACATTAGTTAAAGTATTTACCTGCTAACCAAAATGTTTGCTATTCAAACCCACCGGCCGCTCCACAGGAAAAAGATGAGGCAGTCTGCTTCTGTAAAGATTTATAGCCTTGAAATCCTAGGGGGAAGTTCTACTCTGTACTATGGGGTCACTATGAGTTGAAATTAACTCAATGGCAGTGGGTTTTTTGGGTTTTTTTTTTCTTTTTGTAGATGGCATTGCTTTCTTGATTTCCTTTTCAGAATCTTCCTTGTTAGTGGAGAGAGACCCAACTGATTTGTGTGTGTTAATGGTATACTCTGCGACTTTACTAAATCCCTCAATTATTTCCAGTAACTTTCTTTGGAGTCCCTGGGATTTTCTGTGTATAGAATTATGTCATCTGCAAATAAGATTCTTTTATTTCTTCTTTTGCAATTTGGATAAACTTAATGTCCCTTTCTAGCCTTATTGTTTTTGCTAGGAGTTCCAGTACAATATTGAATAAAAGTGGTGATAGAAGGTATCCATGTCTCATATCATTCTCAAGAGGAAGAGAGGAGATATTCTTTACTTGCATAGAAAAGGAGGGTTTGGTTTTACAGTAATATTGTGTATGATACATACACAATATGTACACATACAAGTATGATTAGACTCTCAGAATCAACTAAATATGTGTTTCATTTTGTCGAATACCTAGAAATATAAACAAGAAACTCAAAGCATTCTGCAGTTCAAACAAAAAGGAAACTTGCTCCTTATTATTATTTTTTTCTAATGTGGAGATTAAGTTATCAAATGCAAAACGTTTCTATTGAGTTTCTCCAGTCTCTCCAAAGAAACCCCAACTTTAAGAGAAATTTCAGGAGTTTAAACACTTTCCCAAGGTGTTTAAATTTTAATATAAATATATTCATATATGAAAGGGGACAGAGATGCCTCATCCCATAATGTTTCTCAGTCCAAATACCTTAATATGGAAATACAAGGGAGATTTGATAAACAAATAATCAAATTATACTTGGAGCTTTTCTGCAGATCCTTAAATATTACAATGACTGTAACTAACTTTTTTTAGAACTGACATCATCAAAACCAGTATGCTTGTGAATAAGTGGCAGTCCTCTACATTTTTGCCTAGTTACACTACCACTTTGGAAATAATGTAGCATTGTGAAAGAATGTGGATTCAGGAGTCAGAAGATTTGCGATTTGAATCCCAATTCCACATTTCAGTGGTGTTTCCTTCCAGTCAGTTGAACTGTTTGACATTCACTTTTGCCATCATAAAACAGGAAAAATAATAATTCCTAGCTCTTGTGGTGGTTGTAGACATCAAATGAAATAAGGTATATGAAAGCACTTGGTAAAAGAACTATAGAAGTGTTAGCTGTCCTAGTAAGAGTAAAAATGACAATGACAGTAATAACAGCATATTCTGTAAAGCTTTTCTAGAATGTGGTGTTGCTGTCAACTGAGTGTAGAGAACTACCATGGTTGCTCCATTTGAACCAAAGCACAAATTAAAAGTCTGAGAGATAAGCTTCATATAACTCTAAGGTCAAGTTGATAGTTGCAATCAATGTATGGAATTTTAGTAATCAAGTAACACTCAGAATTCTATCTTTTTTTTTTTTTGCAAGTAAAAGTACTATCAGAATTGCACAAAATTGGGAGGAAATCTTGGTTCCCTTTTCTCTCTCTCTCTTTTTTATCTTGCTATTTGAGTCCTTAGTTACTCTAATGATAAACGGGATGGAAATGCTGAGCTTAGTAATCAAATATGCAAATTGGGGCACTAAGAGAGAAAATTTGCTTGCATTCATTAGTATGTTATTTTCAGAGGTAGTAAAATAGAGGAGGAGTTGCTTAAAACTACACTTGGGTTGATTTACAAGATGAAAAATTATCTATCTAGCATGAAGTGCTATCTCACGCCTGATTCAGAAAAAAAAAAAAAAAATGTTAAAAATAGTTGTATTTTCCACCAGTAGAGATAGTACCAACTATTTCCCTGCCTTAATTAATCCCACTGGATGTGAGAGTAGGTAGTCTGTGGAAAAAAATGCTTAGGAAATGCATTCTGGCTTAGCAGTCCAGAAGGAGGAACTATTATTAGTATTCATTTTTCTTCTAAAGCCTGAAGGTATACATATGAGCAGTGCTCGACCTGCATGCATAGCAGAGTCTCTCTTCACTAGTACATGTATCTTTATAAAAGACTACAAGGAAAGAAGGCAAAAATCTGTTGGTATCAGCAATGGGGATCTGTCATCTGGGACTCTAGCCTCTCAGCATTGTTCTTTGACTTGAACCCAAGGCAGGTAACAGAATGATACCTGGATATAAGGTGCCAAATTGCCTTATAAGAGAAAAGGGACACTGACTCAGCATGTTGGGACATCTCTCTTAAACAGGATCATATTCTTGCTCTAGAGAGTCAAAACAGAGCTGACTAGGGAAAGTAGATTTGCTCCATAGGCTTGACAGGCTCAGTTCATCTCTCCTCTTCATCCCAGGCCATTTCTTCCTAGGTTCCAGGACCTATAGCACTGACTTGGTATTTTCAGAGAAGTACAAGTACACACTTTCTCCACTGAACTATAGAAAGATAGGAAGGAGTGAAATTGAATTGAATATCTACGAGGGTGAATCAGTGCTTATAAATTCTCCTTTTAGTTTTGTTTTTGTTTTTCCTCTAGATGTGCTCAAGTGATTCTTCAAAGGTAAAAAGTTGACAATTAGAATATGAATTTTATTTGCCATTAATTTGGTTACACTTACCTGTAATCAGCATGCCATGATTGGAATCATACACCATAGAATAAATCTGCATGTCCCCTGGTCCCCCCTGGCTGTCATGGAAAACTTGTATTAGTGAAAGAGTCTGTATATCCCACACTCTGAACACCTAGGGGAATGAAGGACATAGGTCACCACTGGTTACACTTTTCCTACTCAAAAGTATTTAGGTGAAGCATTTTCAGAGTCTAAGATATGCTCTTACAAACTTTTAGCAAGTAGGATTTAAATGATGAGCACTCATTGTTAAACTCTAATTTGGTTCTTGGTTCAATTATTGTTCAGTAATATCACAAGCAAGGAGCTCTAGTGGCTCAGTGCCTAAGGCATTTGACTGCTAACCAGAAGGTTAGCGGTTCAAACCCACCATGCACTCCACAGAAGGAAGACCCAGCAATCTACTTCCTTAAAGATTTACCACCTTGGAAACCCAATGGGGGTCCCTATGAATCAGAATTGACTCAATGGCAATGGGTTGGTTTTTTTTGGTTTTCAACATCAGAGGTATTTGGCTGCTAACAAGAAGGTTGGTTGTTCAAACCCACCAACTTCTCCATGGAAGGAAGATGAGGTGATCTACTTCTGTAAAGATTTATAGCCTTGGAAACCCAATGGGGGTCACTATGAGTTGGAATTGACTCAGGGACAATGAGTTTTTGTTTTGTTTTGTTTAATATTATAGGAGAATAGCAGCAGTGATACTTTGCTTAAAGGTATACTTATAGGAACTAGGATTTTCTATGATTATAGAAGGAAGGAGGAAACACTGTATTTACTATTTAAGAATTTGTAAGAAAAATAAAGGACTGATCATGACTTAAAATTTAATTAAAGCTACATTTCTCTCTCTGTACCGTACACTGAAAAATAAAGAGACAAATTGTATTTTAGGTAGAAGGTTTAAAAATGCCCTTTCATGATTTACAAGGATGGGAACATCTTAGTGAGGTTTCTAAGAACATCCTCCACCCCTACACAGAGATATAAGAGACTCTAGGAGGCTGTTTTCAGGGATGGTATAGATACAGTAAGAGTACATACAGGAAGGAAACACAGAGGTTTTCTTTGAAGGAAGAAAGAGAACTACATAATTCCTCAAATAGAACTTGGTTTGATGTGAGAGGATAGAAAAAGCAATGAAGTTCAAAGTAAGCAAAACTAGGTCACTTTGTCACCTGAAATAACTGATCTTAGTCCTCATCATTATTCTGCTTTTTGGCAAGCTACAGTGTGACTGAATTTCAGAAATGTGTGAATTGATCAACAATTACATTTCCTAGCCATGCCTCAGCCTTACATAATACTTTTATATTGTAATAGTTATTACTAACCTATTAAATTGACCCCAATTTATTGAGTAAATGAGTGATAATTTTAGCCAAACTACATATAAATCTTTAATAACCAGTTTTTCTAACTGAGATACTGACCTCTAATTTGGGACACTTATGACATATATTTTGGGAACTCTGGTGGCATAGTGCCTGAGGAATTTGACTGCTAAGCAGAAGGCTGGTGGTTCGAGCCCACCAGCCACTCAGAAGGAAGGTTGGGCAACCTACTTCTGTAGTGATGCCACCTTAGAAACCTAAGGAGGGGTCACTATGAGTTGGATTTGACTCAACGTCAGTGAGTTTGGTTTTTGGTTTTGGATAACATATATTTTACTCCTTATGTTAATTGAGTTCAAATCTTCACTTTTGCTAAGGCAGATCATTCCTTCTATGTAGGAGCATAAAGATGTCTGAGTCATGTGATTTAGGAAACCAGGTAAAGATTCTTTGTTTAGTAAATATTTTTTTTTATTTTTTAAAAATTTTATTATGATTTGGCTAAAAGTTTACAGAGCAAACTCATCTTCTATACAGCAGTTCACATAAACTTTGTCTCATGATATTGAATATAATCTCCCACAGTGCAACAGCTCTCCTCCCACTTCCTCCTCATTGCCACCTCTTCACTCTGTCCTTCCCTCCCATGGACTCCTGCTCCCAGAATTGTCTCTCTGTGCATACACAGCCTTTCTATTCTCCCATGATTGATCTCTCCAAGGAGTGTATCTACCTAATGTAAATGTTCAGCTCATATACCTGTCTTTTGTTTGTCTGGAAGCCAGAGGAGTGAGTTCATTTTCAGATCTGAAGGGCAGCTAGGGGCCATAGTTTCAGGGGTTCCACCAGGTTCTATCAGAGCATCAAACTTGGTCCCTTTTTTTTTATGATTTTGAGTTTTGTTCCACATTATTCTCACACTTTATCCAGGATCCCCTACATAGATCTCCCTCAGAGTAGTTGAAAGTGGTAGCCAGGCACCATCTAGTTTTTCTAGTCTCATAGTCATCTAGATTGAGGATTGCATGGTGTACCAGTCCCTCGGACTAATTGTTTCCACATGTCTTTGGTTTTCTTCATTCTTCTTTGCTCTGGATGATGAGAGACCCATTGTTGCATCTAGCTTGCCACTTGCAAGCTTTTAAGATCCCAGTCGCTACTCACCAAAGTAGAATGTGGAACAATGCTTTTGTGTAATATGTTATGATGAGCTTGGTGTTCCCTGCGACCATGGTCCTGAGCCCCAGATCCAACTACTCATTTCCTTTGGGTAGCTGGCTGTGCCCAAGAAGTGACTACAAGCTTGTCCCTTGTCAGCTTTATTATACACTTGAAAATTCTTACAGAACATACAGATATACTTGTAGAAACATTGTCTGCCAACCCTATACCTGGACATGGGCACACTCCCCTTGCATAGACATACCTAATCATTCAGCCTGTCCACCCATCTGTCTACCTGTAGATCAATGATTGCCATCACTGACAATGCAGTACTGTGTGTGCAAAAGGATTCCTCTTGCTGTCTATACCTCCCATGCATCTCTCTACATCTTCCTCTTCCTCAGTGTCACCATGTTGATCACTCACATTTGCTATATTGCCCTTATTTTCACCAAATCAATACTTGTCTCTACCTATTTAGAAGTGTTCCCTCCCCACCCCTCCTACCCCTGGTAACCAACAAAGAAAATTGCTTAGTAAATATTCTTTATAGGCTAGTATTACTGAGAACTTACACAACTAGAATTTATTTATCAGTTTTTTATATCATAGAATAATTAATGAGAAACAAGTAGGAGAAGAAACACAAAAGTAGAACCCAGGAGTGCAAGGAAATCTAACTCTACTAAAATTGTTTTGATTTTATTGTTTTGGTTAATATGGGTGTATGACTGACAGTCTTTTCAGTAGATATGGATATACCCTGAATTGTAATTAGTGACAGAACAATGGACAAGGCAAAAGAGGATCAGGATTTCAGTTCAAGTGAATCATTGAAGTTCTTGAGTCTCAGATTTTTTTAATTTCTAGAATGGACATAATAACAGCAGCCTTTTCTACTGCATTTAATTGAATTTGTTTTGAAATATGAAGCTCTCTGTAGAGTAATTCCATTTTTTTCTCTTCCTCAGTGTTGAATTATTTGTGTCTTTTGTGTGTTTTCAGGGAAGTGGTGACTGCTAGGCTGGGGAAGTCACTAAGGACTTCCTCATCATGCTGCATCTATTCTCTAGCTTTTTCTGTTATTCCCTTAGCCATATACCCCCTTTGTTCCTGTCATACAAAACTGTTTACAATTTCCAAAAAGCTTCATTCTGTTTCTGGTCTCTGTGTTTTCACACTTATTCTTACTGTTGTTATTATTAGGTGCCATTGCATCAGCTCCAACTCATGATATAAAGTTGCCTGGTCCTGCACCATCTTCATGATTTTTGATATGTGTGAGTCCCACGTTGTGGCTATTGTGTAAATCCAACTCAGTGAGGGCTTCCTCATTCTCATTGGCCTACTCTCCTATTTTCTGCAAATTTTTCTCAACATTCTTCTCCATCTCACTAATGCCCACTCTTTCTTCAAAACTTTCATAAAGAGAATCAAAGGGTTATGGTTCATGTCAGGATAGTGCAATAAGTTTGTCCTTATGTATCGTTTTTTTTTCTACAAACATTGAGAAATAGTTGAAAAAATCTAAAAAGGAGAAATACCAAGGCTCATAAGCAAGATATATCTCTCTATAGACCTACATATCTATAGATCTATAGCACTCCACACACTGCACTATGGAAAGGCAGGAGCAGGTCTCCTCAGTTCAAACAAGGGAGCTGAGAAGAAAATCTGTGCACTATTTTCATCTGAAAGTGTAGCTTTTAGAAAGATGTGAGGCCAATGAGGGGGAGACACACCTTCTGACCAGAAACTAAACCAAGACACCCTCTGGCTCAGGGACTAGCCTTTTGCTCTAGATTGGGCCCAGTGAACCAGATAGGGGAAGGTCCAAGACAGGGAGCAGTGAGCATATAGACAGTGATGTGGAGAGAGACCTCAGTACTAAAAGGAAATACAATTTTTAGAAAAATACAGAAGAGGATATCTTTATGAACTTGGGAATTATTCCATTAAAAAATTTGAACCATAAAAGGAAACGTTAATAAATTTAACTAAATAAAAATAAAAATTAAAAAAAAAAAAAAAACTCTGTTTACCCAAAGCAATAATCACAAAGCAACAAAAGTTAATAATTAGAATGTCAAACAAGTTATGCATCAATAATATGTATAAGGAACAAATTATTCAATAGAAAAATAGACAATAGATATGAGCAGGCAATTCCCAAAGGAAATATCTGATAATACATGCACACATATACACACATGATAAGATGGTTAACCTCACTACTACTAATTATTAAACAATGTTGTAGAACCTTACATCGCACTTGTGTGCCTGGCAGTCCTAAGTACTATATATATAAATATATATATTTGTATATATATTTAAATATATAT